GAGAACGAGGACTCGAATGCATTACGTGCCATTCTGAAGTATAAAAAAATAAGAGGGACTGGTTTGTCAATATTTATATACATTTGGACTATGACTTGTTATGCTGTATACTACAACAGTCACACCGCATGCCCCGGTTAACATATATGTTTATTTACACAAAAGTATGGTTCACTGTGAAGCTGCTCGGGGTGGGGATATATGACATGTTGCAGGATACGTGACATTTGTAGAGGAAATCGCCGTCAACAGCTGACGCATTATTTGTACGTGCAGAATGAGATCCGTTTTGTCGTGAACTGACAACAGCGGGGTGACACCATTTACCTCATTTCTCTGATCGCTGGCATCGAGCTATGGCAGGGCCGGATCCGTGAGCCTCTTGGGCGTTGGAAATCTCTCTGGAGGCCGATAACTTTCTTGACACCCGAGGACGGATCCGCGTTTGTCGGCGTTCGCAGTTCGCGAACACCGACTAAGCTTCAGAGGTGCGGGAGAGTTTGATCAATGGAAGAGTCTCAAGATTCTGACAGAAAAAGGGCTAATCCTGTGCGGAGAGCCTGCGACGTTCAACAGGGAGAGACGAGGTGAGCTCGGCACGGCCGAGGCCACTTGACGAAGATTCTTGGAGGCCTACGAGACGTGGGGCGCAGGGGTAGTTGAGGGGACCGCATGACGAGACGAAGAGAAGATTGAACGCCACCGGTCAGGGCTCGGACCGCGTTTTTGCAAACGGGAAGTATGGTGGGCTTTGCGCGAGAGGATGCCGTTTTGTTTTGCTGCAAGCCACCGAAATGCAGCAACGAATTCGTTTAAAGGAACGGATGAAACTGGTGGGGGGAAGCTGGATGTCCTGCGAGACGCTCCGAGATTTTGTTTGTGAGTGTGCGGCTTGCGAGAGGGTTGCAGGCATGGCCTGCATCCACACTGCCAAGTGAGCAGTGGCTCTTTTGGCAACTCGGTGTTTCAGGAGGAGGGTGGAGATTGTAAATTGGTGCAGATTTGAACGAAGGTGACGGACGGACTGGGAACGTGGGGAAGTGGTGAGGGTGTGGTTCAAGCTAAATGTCCTCCAGCATTTGCATGTGATCGTCATAAGTTATGGAAAGATTTGTGTTTCGTGGTTGTCTCACAATGCAAAGGAAACACTTATTTTTCGTGGTTTAAACAAAACTCGAGGCCCATCGTGGTCAGAGGCACCTCGCGCTGAAGACGTAGAACGAGTAATATTTTTTTTCGAGTAACCATTAAATAGTTTGTAAATAAAGCAAACTCTCCCAGGCCGAGTTGGTAAGCTGAAGCTAAAGAACTCTATATCTTCTTTCTAAGTTTGAGGTTGGAGGGGGGGGGGGGGAAATGACAGCATTTCGTTTAAAAGGTCATTGTACACTTTGAGTTATTTCAGGTGTAAGCGTAATATCGTCGGTTTTGTTTCTTGTATTGTTGCTGATTGGTTTGTTTTTATATTCTTTCAAAATGTTACCCAGTGTGAAATCGTAAATAAAGATTTGCTCAAGGGGGACTTGCAATAGCCAGAGCCTCATTGAATGTTCGTGCATGTTTCTGTTGACATTTCTTCTGGGGAGCCCACTAAAAGCAACTCTGCCTTTCGTAGGGCGTAATTAGAGAATCTACAAACATTGGTGGGTGGGCATCGCTCAGATACTGAGTTCGTGGATCCCGCCATCTCCAGAACAGCAAGAAAAGAACGAATCTTTTGAGTATCATCTGCATTCTACGGTGCAGGGACTCCTACTTACGAACATTCTACTTACGAACTTTCAGAGATACGCACAAACCCCGTCCCGTATGTCCAGTTGGCTGTTTGGACTGAAAGTCGTAAGTGGCATCTACATCTACAGGAGGTTATACTGGTAGGAACCACCTGGTTCCACCAGCCCACAGGGGATTATTGTGTCCGTCCGTCGTGCATCCAAAAATAGGAGGGGTGGGGCAGGGTGGGAGGGGTGGGGCGGGGTGGGAGGGGTGGGGCTGGGTGGGGCTGGGTGGGAGGGGTGGAGCTGGGTGGGAGGGGTGGGGCTGGGTGGGGAGGGGCTGGTCACCCCGTGGTGCCCTTATAAAACTCAACGTTTAACCTACTCACGCCGGCTTGTGCCCGTCCTCACAGTCGGGCATATTTGCGGAATACACCACGCCGCCGTTGACCCTGGCCATTGACCGAGCAACCCAACGTTCCTACCAGCTCCCTCCGCAGGACAATGTGTTACAACTCTTAAAACAATTACCTGTGTTTAGTGTAGACGCCGTACAACATGTTTAGATCGACAGGTGTTTGACTAGCGAACAAATCGACTGTCAACAGACCTCTGGAACCTAACTCATTCATAAGTCGAGGTGTCCCTGTATTGGTGTGTAGTAGTGTAGTAGTATATGTAGTGTATAATGTAGTTTAGTCGTATATAATAGTGTAGTAGTAACATTCCTGCGGAGGGAGCTGGTAGGAACGTTGGGTTGCTCGGTCAATGGCCTGCAGGGTCAACGGCGGCGTGGTGTATTCCGCAAATATGGCCGACTGAGGGCGGGCACAAGCCGGCGTGAGTAGGTTAAACGTTGAGTTTTATAAGGGCACCACGGGGTGACCAGCCCCTCCCCACCCAGCCCCCAGCCTCCCCACCCAGCCCCTCCCTGCACGATGGACACAATAATCCCCTGTGGGCTGGTGTAACCAGGTTCCTACCAGTATAAGGGGGGGGGGGGGTGAAGGGGGTGGGGTGGGGGGTGAAGGGGGTGAGGGGGTGGGGCTGAAGGGGGTGAGGGGGTGGGGGTGAGGGGGTGGGGGCGAGTGCGGCGGCAAGATGCCGTGGCGAAGGCGCGCAGTCTGCTCACTTAGAGATGCAAAGACAAAGACCTCCTCTATAGCCTCCACAGACCTGTTGGGCAAGTGCTGTTAGCACGTAGCACTTACAAAGACAAACACCCCCCGTGTAGCCTGTGACAGGCTGCTGGGGCAAGTGCTGCTAGCGAGTAGCAGCACCCATGAACACACAAAGACAAAAGTCCCCCGTGTAGCCTGTGTCAGGCTGCTGGGGCAAGTGCTGCTAGCGAGTAGCAGCAGCGTCTATGAAGGCTACCGGCACTGTGGCACACCAGGGGGTGGGTGGGTAGCGCCACGCCCGGCCGCCTTTGTCTCCCCGGTGGCGATGTTTACTGCACACCGCACCAGGTGCTCATTTGATGCCGAGTCTACCTAGGGGGGAGTCTGAGACCAGGTAAGGTGCCGGGCAGAGATGATCTCCCAAGCGAAATGCTGAGGGAGGGTGGCCTTTGTGCACAGACTGCCCTACATGACATCATAACAGTCTGGACCACTGGACGGGTTCCGCAGGACTGGAAGGATGCCCTGGTGCACAGACTGTAACAACTACAGGGGCATCTCCCTCCTCAGTGTGCCGGGAAAGGTCTTGGCAAAAATTATTCAACATCGCCTTGCGGAGCCCCAATGTGATTTCAGGAAAGGGCGGTCCTGCACATGCCATATTTTCTGTCCGTCTGCTCGAGCAGAGGTGTTGGGAATTCCAACAAGACCTACATCTCTGCTTTATTGACCTGGTCAAGGCCTATGATACCATCAGTAGGACTGGGCTCTGGGTTGTTCTTCGTGCTTTCGGAGTCCCTGACCCTCTGCTCACGATCATTAAGGACCTTCATGATGGTGAGCGGGCCCGGGTAAAACTACGTGGCCGGGAGTCGGAGCCATTCCTTGTTCACCTTGGGGTGCGACAGGGATGTCCTCTGGCTCCCACATTATTTAACATCTATTTCGACCACAGTAGTTCGTGAAGCCTTCGATGGCTGTACTGGAGGAATTTCCATCTGGTACAGATACAATGGGAGGCTGATCAATGCCCGGGTGCGGTCGAGGGATGGCTCCCTATTGGTCAACCATGTCCTGTATTCATAATATAAAATTCATGTGCTGTATGCCGATGATCTGGCGATTGCTGCTCACTCAGAGGAAGAGTTGGAGGCGATTCTGCTGAACCTGGAGCGTGTCACTTAGATGTGAGGACTTACCATCAGCCCCACCAAAACGAAGCACCTGCCTGGTTATTTTGTGGCATCACACTCCACCTCCACAACCTGGGAGTGGCAGCAGCAGCAACGTCGTCGTTGTTATCAAGACGTCGGTACTCACCGCAGAGAACCGCAGCAGCACGACCGCCACTCTTTACGATAGCCGGGCACCAAAACACATTGTCCTGCGGAGGGAGCTGGTAGGAACGTTGGGCTGCTCGGTCAATGGCCTGCAGGGTCAACGGCGGCGTGGTGTATTCCGCAAATATGGCCGACTGTGAGGGCGGGCACAAGCCGGCGTGAGTAGGTTAAACGTTGAGTTTTATAAGGGCACCACGGGGTGACCAGCCCCTCCCCACCCAGCCCCACCCTCCCCACCCCCTCTCCACCCTCCCCTTCCCACCCAGCCCCTCCCCACCTTCTCCTCACCCAGGCCCTCCCCACCCTCCCCACCCAGCCCCTCCCCAACCTCCCCTCTCCACCCAGCCCCACCCTCCCCACCCAGCCCCTCCCCACCCAGCCTCATCCAGCCCCAACCCTCCCATTTTTTGATGCACGACGGACGGACACAATAATCCCCTGTGGGCTGGTGTAACCAGGAGGTTCCTACCAGTAAAACCGTGCCGCATTGACGCCCTCTCTCTCCCTCCCGCACGGCCTTGTGGGGGAGCCTCGGTGCACCGCGTGTGTGCGCGTAGCGTCATCGGAACGGAACCGGGAGAATAACCGATGACGTAGTCGTGGACGTCATCGCAAAGGGTTCATTGTTACACACCGCTTGAGACTAGGCTCTAAAGAAAGCTGTCTCTGGTGTGGACCAATCAGTTTCAAAGCCAATGCATCATATACTACCGGAGCGTGTTATTTTGTTTGCATGTTGACCACAAGTACCTTGTGTGTGTGGTTAATGCAAAGATGATTCCTCGCAAAAGGTTTCTGTTTGGCGTTTGAACATCTTAACATCAACTGTTTTATTGCCAGAACGGGTAAAACCAATTCTTATAATTACGTAACGTTCGCCGTTCAATCCGAACGGCACTCCGGCGACAGGGACACGAGCAGATAATTTTTTTACGAGGAACTACAATTTGAATCTTCAATTGTAAACTAAGAACGGTGAACGCGGGGAAGGGGGGGGGGGAGAAACCGCCGGCGATATTTTTCAAACGACAAGATACCGAGACGATAAAAAAGAACAACCCGACACCATTCTGTCCGAAGCTGGAGTCTCAAGTCCACGTCTTATTAGTCCTTGCATCAACGGTACAGTTCATCGCAACAGTAGCCTATGGATGGCGACAGGGGTGGGGGGTTGGAGGGAGGAGGGGGAGACTCGGCTAGAGCGAAGGGAACTCACGTTACGATTACCAAAAACGTTTAAAATACTAACAAAAAATAACAACTCAACACGTTTGTCGATAACGAACAAAGGGCGTTTCGCCCGAGCTAGCCTCCCAAGGAAAAGTCAACCATCGGTGACGTGCCCAGCAACGGGGTCCTTCATCACAGAGCACGGGTGGAATTAATCGTGCTACGAAAAAAGGGCGGCGGGCAGAGGTCGCAAACGGGTTTTGATTCCTTACCCGTACCCGGCCGCACCAGGGTCGCAAACGAGTACCCGGCCGGGTACGGGTAGGGTGCGGGTATCGGGTACCCGATTGCGACCTCTGGGATGAAGCCACGTTGCAGGCGCGGGTGGGTTGATTCTAGGAACTTGAATTGTGAGAAGAGACAAGACGTTGGGAAATGAGTGACAATCACGGTTACTCACCAGTGACTCACGGCCTACCCGTACCCGGCCGCACCAGGGTCGCAAACGGGTAGCCGGGTATCGGGTAGGGTACGGGTATAGGGTAACCCGGTTGCGACCTCTGGCGGCGGGGGGGGGGAAATCGCCTGGTACGTCACACCGATGATAGATTTTTCCTTTCAAGGCCGCATGGACGCAGCGTTAACTGACGGATCCGCGAGACACAGAGAGCGTGTTCCTGTGTCGTGCTTGTGCACGTCGCCACCGTCAACGCGGCGGCGGCCGCAGCGTCGCCGTCAAATAATTTTTCCAAGGCTCCTTTTGACGGTGGAGTTAACCGGAATGAGAAACCGGCGCGCTACTTTCGCCGATCTCACCAACAAGTTAATCCCTCGCGCAACGCTCAGGGGTCAGATTCACCTAAGGCAAGACGACGCTTCGATGCTCGTGCTACGGGCGTTGGGGACATCGGCATTGGAACGGAACCGACCCCCCCTTTTGATTTTCGTGCCATATTCGCCGAAAGCAAATTTAGCTTTCGTGCAAAATCTCGCCGCTGCTGGGAGGTGAAAAATGTTCACCGACGACGACGACGACAACAAATATTTGATTCTTGAATCCAGATCGCGAACCCAGAATCGAGAGGGGGGATCGGGGGGGTGGAGAAAATGGTGACAGTCAACGTCAAAATCCCGCGTCACGCAAATTTGGGTCGTCATCCTCGCAGCAGCGGCGGCGGCGGCTTCTGGCTAACCGCAAAATAAAGTCGGTGGCCACCGTATCATCAGCGCGGCTCCGTCAGACGCGCGCTTCTGCGTCCATCTGGAAACGGCTCTTCCTTCCAATATTAGGAAGCCACCGGTAGCTACAATGCACTTTTAAATCATCATCATCATCATCTACATTGATAAACTCGTTTCATTACAACGGCTTGTTGTTGTTTCGTTGGTTGTCCTAACCTCCCCTCTCACCTCCGATTGGCGCGGTCGGCTAAATACGGTGGTGCGAAAGAAAATAAACAAACGTGCTGCATCAATCGAGGGGCTCGGCTAACCAGATTTGGCCACGATGGGGGGGGGGAGAATTGGCGCAGCAAATCGTCGTCGGCAACTGACGAACCGAAAAAAGAAAGACGGCGTTTGTTCAATTCACGGTTTCACGAATCACCCGCCGGCCTCCACAGATCATAGAGGTTTCGTTGGGTTAGATCGCCCAAGTATAAATGTGTCGTCAAACCCGCCACCACCCGACACAGCCAATTAGTAAGGGGTTCGTCACGTAAACAGAACGTGCCAATTAGTTACTAGTACAGCACTAACCAGCGTTGGAGATTTGTCCTGGCTGTCAGCCTGATGATGCTGGTTATAATTACTGGCGAAACGTGGTACTCGCATTGTAAATGTTGTGGATTGGCTCTCCAACACACAACCGGTTAGTGCTGTACTAGTAAGGAATTGGCCACGTTCTGTTCACGTGACAAACCCCTTACTGATCGACGACACATTATATTTACACGATCTAACCCCAAACAAAACCTCTATTGCGGATGAAATTGTTCGCGAAAGCCTGCTACGTGTTAAATCCGTTCCGATTGGACAACGCCATCCCAATTGACCACTAGGAGGGGGGGAGGGGGAGGTGGGATTGGTGGGGTGGGCGGGCCGAAATTCATCCAGATTTGCCCAGTAATCATGACTTACGTGACAACACAAACTAAAAAACTAAACTACCCGGGGCCAAGGAACTGCGCCACGGCCGCGTCAGGGCCGCACTGGCGTCTCCATTTCCTCCACGGAGGCCTCGAAGGAGTCGGCCTCCGCAGGGAATCCTCGCCAAAAACCTCCCAAAGAGGCCGCCAGTCACTACGGGGTCACCTCGGCGGGGGTCACCTCGGCGGGGTTCACCGTGGCGGGGGTCACCGCGGCGGGGGTCACCTCGGCGGGGGTCACCACGGCGGCGATCGCGGTCGGATGGGCCGACGCGGCCGCCGACGCCGACGTAGGAGGAGGAGACGCCACCGTGGCGGCGCCCGGCACGATGAGCCCGACGATCTTGTCCTGCATCTGCGCCTGCATGGCGGCGAGCGCGGCGAGGAAGGCGCGGTCCTCCCGCCGCCGCCGTTCCTCCCACTGCATGTAGAGGCGCGTGAGGCGAGCCTCCAGCTCGCGCTCGCGACGCTCGCGGCGCTCCTCCAGCCGCAGGAAGGTGCTTACCAGCTCCTCAACGCCGGCGGCTGACGACGACGACGCCGAAGCGGACGCCGCCGCCGCCTTGCCCGGCGCTTCGCTCTCGTCGCCCGGAGAGCCGTGGCGCTTGACACCCCTCCGCTCCGACGCGGCGGGCGAGGCGGCCGGCATCGACGCTGCCGATCAAGGGGTGGGGGAGGGGGGAGGGGATGTGGTGGGGGTTAGAGGTCACAAAGTCCGTGGCACTGAAACCTACTAAGCTAATTGACGCTGCCGATCAAGGGGCGGGGGGTAGGGGGATGTGGTGGGGTTTAGAGGTCGCAAAGTCCGTGGCACTGAAACCTACTAAACTAATAGTGATAGGTTCCAAACCTAACAAAACCTACACCATGGATGACATTGATCGCGAAGGCGCTGCCACGTGTTACACGGACGAATGGAAATTCACAGCCGCAAGCCAAACAGCTGGAAACGCGCGACGCCGAATCTAAAATTCGGAGGGAATTTTGAATTTTTTCTTTTTTTTAAATCCTTTATATTAAGTTCGCTTGCTTGCTTAGGATCGTGCAAATCTTTCGGTCGTTTTGTAACCCACTTCCCGTGATCCAATCGAGCTGACATTTTCCACACAGACTCGTTGTGCGTGACAATTAATGTTCGTGAACATTTTTTTCCAAAATGTTACACTTTTTAGGACAAAAATATTATATTTAATTACCAATTGCTTAATGGTGCAATGCAATCATCTGACCCATAGGTGGCAGCCATCTCAAGCCAGAGGACGAGAGGACTGTAGCCGCCACGCATACAAAGGATTTATAGTGAAAAACTTTGTTTTTACGGGTTATACTTGTTTATTTACAAAAACAAACCGGGACGAGGACCCGGAGACAATCCCACCGACGACGACAAAGCCGAACGTGCCGTTGCCTTACCGGCTTCCCCGACGTCTGCCGCCGACGCCTCCCGCTTCACGCGCGCCGCCGCGGTGCCGTTGGCCTCCCTGACGGGCAGGTGGCCCAGCACCCTGTCCAGCTTTTCGTAGTAGGGCGACTTGGAGGCGCGCGCGGTGCCCTGCTCCTGCGCCTGCGCCACGCCCTTGCGCGACTTGGCGTACACCGTCTTCAGTTTCTTGATGCGCAGGCGGCAGTCCTGCGACGAGCGGGGCGGCACGTCGGGCGACGGCGGCGGGGAGGCGGCGGCGAGGCGGTCGCGCACCAGGTCGTAGACGCACGCGTTGTTGCGCGCCGTCGGAGACGCCAGCATCGCCTGGATGTCGTCCTCGGCCCACACGTCCAGCAGGGCGTTGGTCTCAGACACCGACCAGCAAGCGCCGCCGCCGCTGCTGCCGGCGCCGCCGCGGGTCGCCGGGGATTGCGGCACGGAACGGGTCTGGTGCATCGGGGAGTCGAGGAAGCCCTCGGAGGCTGCGGGGGACGACAAGAAGAGGGACAGCGCCGGAGGTGGAGGGGTCGCGCCGGGAGCGTTAGTAACACGTCGCCGGTTGCCCCCCCGCGGCGATGAAACCCTCAAAGATTTAGACGCGAGCTTACGGATCGCAGAACTCCATAATGTTTGAGACAGGAGGGGGGGGGGGGAGGAGAGCGGGGGGGTGGGGGGCTTTCGCCCGACCGATGTCGTCATCCACGGGCGGAGGCTTTGTCGTTGATTTTGATCTCGTCAATTGAAATGTGTCGTTGAGCCCTCCACCGCACCGACACGGCCAGCGAGTAAAAGTTTGTCACGTGAACAGAACGGGGTCTAATTCGTTACTAGTACAGCACTAACCGCACCAGGGTCGCAAACGGGTACCCGTACCCTACCCGTACCCAGCCGGGTACCCAGCCGGGTACGGGTAGGGTACGGGTATCGGGTACCTGATTGCGACCTCTGGGATGAAGCCACGTTGCAGGCGCGGGTGGGTTGATTCTAGGAACTTGAATTGTGAGAAGAGACAAGACATTGGGAAATGAGTGACAGTTACTCACCGGTGACTCACGGTCTACCCGTACCCGTACCCGGCCGCACCAGGGTCGCAAACGGCTACCCGTACCCGGCCGGGTACGGGTAGCCGGGTATCGGGTAAGGTACGGGTATCGGGTACCCGGTTGCGACCTCTGGTTGGAGAGCAAATCCACAACATCTACAATCTTGAGTACAACGTTTCGCCAGTAATTACAACCGGCATCAGGCGACAGCCAGATTTGTGTAGAAATCCTCCTCCTGTTTCGTTCCTGAACACATCTACCGCTCTATTTAAGTCAAGAAACAGGAGGAGGATTTATCCACAAATCTGGCTGTCGCCTGATGATGCCGGTTGTAACTACTGGCGAAACGTCGTACTCAAGACTGTAAATGTTGTGGATTTGCTCTCCAACACACAAGCGGTTAGTGCTGCACCAGTAACGAATTGGCCACGTTCTGTTTATGTGACAAACTTTTACTATTGGAACCTCCTTTGCCAGTAGCAAAATATGATAATTGGTTTTTTTACCCTTTTATCTGGCAACAAAACTGACCGGGTACCCGATACCCGTACCCTACCCGATACCCGGCTACCCGTACCCGGCCGGGTACGGGTACCCGTTTGCGACCCTGGTGCGGCCGGGTACGGGGTACGGGGGGTAAGGAATCACAACGCGTCTGCGACCTCTGCTCCTCACCCATCGCCTCGTCGTCGTCAGCGTCGTCTACAGCGAGTGTCTCGGCCTCCCCGCCGCCGCCGCCGCCGCCCTGCTGCTGCTGCTGCCCGCGTCCCAGCACCCGGTCCATCTTGTCGAAGAGCTGCGAGTGAGTGAACCGGTCGGCTCCGTGCTTGGGCGCCTGACCGGCCGCGACCCGCCGCGCCTTGGCGTACATCATCTTGAGCTTCTTGATGCGCGCCCGGCACTCGTGCGGCGTCCGCCGGCAGTCGGGCAGCGCCGCCACGAGGCCGTCGCGCACGCGCCCGTACACGCTGGTGGTGGCGCCGCCGCGCGGCTCCGCCACCAGCGCCGCCTGCATGTCGGGCGCCAGCCACACGTCCAGCAGGGCGCTCGTCTCGCGCACGTCCCACGGCTTCCACAGGGAGCCGCCGGCTACCGGGCCGGAGAGGGGAGGGGGTGAAGAGGGTGAGTGGGGGGGGGGCGGTGGTGAGCGAGACGAGCGAGCGCAGCGGGGTCACGGCGCGGCGGGGGTCGCGCGAACGTCACCATCACCCCCTCCCACCACGTTCACCATCGCCCCCTCCCCCCCCCCACAGCGTTCACCATCACCCACCCCCCACAGTGTTCACCATCACCCCCCCCCTCCACCACGTTCACCATCGCCCCCCCCCTCCACCACGTTCACCATCGCCCCCCCCCACCACGTTCACCATCGCCCCCCCCCACCACGTTCACCATCGCCCCCCCCCTCCACCACGTTCACCATCACCCCCCCCCACCACGTTCACCATCGCCCCCCCCCCACCACGTTCACCATCGCCCCCCCACCACGTTCACCATCGCCCCCCCACCATGTTCACCATCGCCCCCCCCCCACCACGTTCACCATCGCCCCCCCCCCCCACCACGTTCACCATCACCCCCCCACCACGTTCACCATCGCCCCCCCCACCACGTTCACCATCGCCCCCCCCCACAGCATTCACCATCGCCCCCCCCCCACAATCACCATCACCCCCCCCCCCACCGCATTCACCATCGCCCCCCTCCCACCGCATTCACCATCGCCCCCCCCCCACATTCACCATCACCCCCCCCCACTCACGCTTGGCCACGGCGTCCTGCAGGAAGCTGCTGATGCCGTCGCCGGACGAGAAGTCGACGTGGGAGTCCTCGTGGAAGCGGTCGATGCCGACTTTGCCAAACTCCACGTCGAACTCGTCCAGTTCCTCGTACGAGCTCTCCGCTGGCGGGGACGACGACGGGGAGGAGGAGGAGGAGAGGGAGGACAGCCGGCGGTCAGAGGGAGATACTCTTAGTTCTTTCGGTAAAGTCACCATGTAGGTAAAAAAAAAATATTTAAATTAATAAAAATAAAATTGAAAAAATCACGACGTTTCGGAGGCAACACAAGTCTCCGTCATCAGGTGGGACCGTCACAGCCAGATTTGCTGCATCAAGTGAGGCAGAGATTCAAGATGCAAGTTCTTAAATACAAGTTAACTTCGATTTAAAGCTTTCGCGACTGCAGGGATTCATCATCTTGGTTCTTTCGGTAAAGTTACGTAGAATGGAAATAATAAAATAATAAAAATAAAACAATAAAATAATTCTCACGACGTTTCGGCCACAACGCAAGCAGCCGTCCTCAGGTGAAGAACAGGTCTGTGTGCGGTAAAGTCACGTGGACAGACCTGTTCTCCACCTGGGGACGGCTGCTTGCGTTGTGGCCGAAACGTCGTGACAATTATTTTATGTTTTATTTGTATTATTTTATTATTTCCATTCTACGTGATTTTACCGAATTGAACCAAGAAGACAAGTAAACTTGTATTTAAGAACTTGCATCTTGGAATCCCTGCCTCACTTGATACAGCAAATCTGGCTGTGACGGTCCCACCTGATGACGGAGACTTGTGTTGCCTCAAACGTCGTGATTTTTAAACCCTTTATATTAAGTTCGCTTGCTTGCTTGCGTGCTTGCTTGCTTACGACCGTGCAAATTTTCGGTCGTTTTTTAACCCACTTCCCGTGATCCAATCGAGCTGAAATTTTGCACACAGACTCGTTGTGCGAGACAATTAATGTTCGTGAAAAAAATGTTCCAAAATTGTACACTGTTTAGGGAAAACAAATTAAATATTTAATTACCAATTGCTTAATACTGGCAGACAATCATCTGACCCATAGGTGGCAGCCATCTCAAGCCAGAGGACGAGCGGACTCTAGCCGCCACGCATATAAAGGATTTTAGAGTGAAAAACTTTGTTTTTACGGGTTAATTTATTATTATTTTATTTCTATTAATTTCAATTTCATTTTTTTACCTACATGGTGACTTTAGCGAAAAAACTAAGAGTATGAATCCTTGCAGTGACGAAAGCTTCAAATCTAGGGTCAGAGGGAGGCTTCGAGCGACGACAGGGTTAGGCTCCGGCTACGAGAACACGAGACACCAGAGTGGCCACAGGTTGAGTCACAAACCGCACCTCTCCATAACAAAGGCTCAGCCTTTGTTATGCAGTCTATTCTTAGTCTTAAGCCTCACCTTACCATATTAATAATAAGTATGCGCCCCTTGCCCCACAATCTTCTCCAACCATTATATAAACGGAGTGGTAGCTACTGAAATCTCTCATTTACTTGATACGGCTGTCGTGGCTGTGACGGTACCACCTGAAGACGGAAGCTTGTGTTGCCTCCGAAACGTCCTGATTTTTATTTTTTATTTTATTTTACTTTTTAATGTTTTTTACCTACGTGACTTTACCGAAAAAACCTAAGAATATTCCAACGGGTTTTTAATGTAATTTTTGTTGCTATTTCATTTATACCCGATGACGATTGCTTGCGTTGCAATCGAAACGTCGTATGTTATTATTTAATTTATTATTTTATCTTTAGATGTGACTTTACCGAAAGAACCATAGAGTAATTCCTGCAGTCACGAAAGCTCCAAATTCAAGATGAGGTATTTCCAACGGTTTTAATGTAATTTTGGGGTGCTGATTCCAAATCTGGCATCAATTTTTGTCTTTCACATCAGGTTTTTGAGATATAAAATATCGCATTTTCAATAAAAACTGCAGAAGAAAAATATTAAATACATGTGGATATCTACATAAAATGATATTATAAACACACTATCCTAAAAACACAGCACCGTATTTTAACACTAAAGCAGTCACTGACTCGCAACAACCTGCAATCATAAGTGACAGAGTTAATTTCGGATAAAATCAATGAAAACGGGGTATGCCGATAGCATAAAAATGAGCTGTGATAGAGCAAATCTGAGATCAGATTTGGAATCAGCACCCTGAAATTAGTCTTAAACGGCTGCAAAAGTCGAGGCCAGAAAATTATTTTTTGTTGTTGACCAGTGTAATATATTCATTGTCCTTTAAACTGATTGGTCCACTCCAAGAGACGGCTTTCTTTTGAGCCTCGACCCAATCGGTGCTCAACCAGAGGAAGCCAAAAAAGGCTTTTGGCGTCAAGGACAAAGCATATATTATCAGAGTGTGTGTTTTGTTTGCATTTTGACTGCAAGTATTGTGGTTAATGCAGATATTAATCCTCGTAAAAAGGTTTCAGTTTTGTTGTGGTTTTTTTTATGCTTTGCTTTATGTAAACCCCCCCCCCCCCCTTTTTAAATGAAAGATTTAACAAAAGATTTCTCGCTCTGCTCTCCTTACCCCTTCCCTTCTCTCTCTACCCCCCTCTCTGCCCCCCCCCTCTCTGCCCCCACCTCTCTTCCCACTCCATGTTCTCTCCTCTCTGCGTGCGTGTCTACATAGCGGAGCCCTGTTGTCAGGCCACTGACGGATGAGTGCCTCCACATCCCATGCACCACTGGTACGGCAATGTGCTCAGAGCCAATTTTCTAGGCTCAACAACTTTTTCTTCTTCAATGTTGCAAGCCACCTACACCTCCGCGTGCGTGCGTGCGTCTGCGAAACCCGAGCAAGTCACCAACCTCCTTTGCTTCCTCGACCGCCGCGAACCACCCCTGCCGCGATGGGCATGTGCCCCAGCACCTTGTCCAGCTTCTCGTAGTACGGCGAGCGCGACAGACGCACCGTGCCCTGCTCCTGCGCCTGCGCCACCGCCTTGCGCGACTTGGCGTACACCATCTTGAGCTTGCGGATACGCAGGCGGCAGTCCTGCGACGAGCGCTGAGAGCCGGGCAGCGCCGCGACGAGGCGGTCGCGCACGCGCTCGTACACGCACGCCTGCTCGTGCGGAGCGAGCGCCAGCGAGTCCTGGATGTCGCGGTCGGCCCAAGCGTCCAGCAGAGCGTTGGTCTCAGTCTCTGACCACGATCCGGGACGGCAGGACGCGGGCGTGAGGTCGGCCTGCTGCTGTTGCTGCTGCTGCGGCTGCTGCTCCTGCTGCTGCTCCTGCTGCAGCTCCTCCTGCAGCTCCTCCAGCTCCTGATGCACCTGCAGCAGCTGCTGCTCCTGCTGCTGCTGATGCTCGGCAACGTCAGCCATTCTCGTCTCGGGTTGGGTCCGTCGAGTTGCGATCGCTGGGGTGAAGCTACGGCGGCAACGGCACGTGCTGTCGGCCACCCGCCCTCAGGGCTCGGCGTCCCCAAGTCCGACGCTGATCACTGAGAGCAACAAGCAGCGTCGGGAGATACCGGGGAGGGCAGAGGAGGGCGGGGGGGAGAGGTGGAAAGGAACGAGGGTTATCCGCGCGGGGTTTGCGAGATGCAGTTTTGCACGAACGATGCTCTGCAATACATTCTTATTATTCTAAGGCTCAATGCACGGGGAATGTGTGTCTCTCTCTCTCTCTTGCCACGTGCAGCACCCAGTCTCGGCCGCCATCTCGTGCCCCCTCCAACTTTCCCTCGCCCCTCCTCTCAACTAAATCACTTTCCTTTGCCTCCTCACCTCATGCCAGAGGTCGCAACCGGGTACCCGATACCCGTACCCTACCCAATACCCGGCTACCCGTACCCGGCCGGGTACGGGTACCCGTTTGCGACCCTGGTGCGGCCGGGTACGGGTAAGGAATCAAAACCCGTTTGCGACCTCTACCTCATGCCGACATGTTCCATCCCCTCCTGCCCCCCCCCCCCTGTCCAACGGATGTGACAAGCTCTGATATGTTATGCTCTTGTGCCAATGGTGCTTACAACACCTTTGCGTTATTGTCGGTGCCGCACATCACGCAGAATTCTGAGGTAGGGCAGAGGTCGCAACCGGGTACCCGATACCCGTACCCTACCCGATACCCGGCTACCCGTACCCGGCCGGGTACGGGTAGCCGTTTGCGACCCTGGTGCGGCCGGGTACGGGTACGGGTAGGCCGTGAGTCACCGGTGAGTAACCGTTTGTCACTCATTTCGGGTAGGGTACGGGTAGGGAACGGTTAGGGGAGAAAAATCCACGCAACCATGGAGGGGGTGGGGGGGGGAGGCGCAAACTCCAAATATACAGCGTCAGGGTCGGGATCAAACCCACAATCTCCTGCATACCAGGCAAGGGAGTTAACATCTCACAACCACGGTGGGCCACCAGGTGTCACAGCTGACTTAGTCTGGCTCTGTGAGCCCCCAGGTGTCACAGCTGTCTTAGTCTGGCTCTGTGAGCCCCCAGGTGTCACAGCTGACTTAGTCTGGCTCTGTGAGCCCCCAGGTGTCACAGCTGACTTAGTCTGGCTCTGTGAGCCCCCAGGTGTCACAGCTGACTTAGTCTGGCTCTGTGAGCCCCCAGGTGTCACAGCTGACTTAGTCTGGCTCTGTGAGCCCCCAGGTGTCACAGCTGTCTTAGTCTGGCTCTGTGAGCCCCCTGGTGTCACAACTGTCTTAGTCTGGCTCTGTGAGCCCCCAGGTGTTACAGCTGACTTAGTCTGGCTCTGTGAGCCCCCAGGTGTCACAGCTGACTTAGTCTGGCTCTGTGAGCCCCCTGGTGTCACAGCTGACTTAGTCTGGCTCTGTGAGCCCCCAGGTGTTACAGCTGTCTTAGTCTGGCTCTGTGAGCCACCAGGTGTCACAGCTGACTTAGTCTGGCTCTGTGAGCCCCCAGGTGTCACAGCTGTCTTAGTCTGGCTCTGTGAGCCCCCAGGTGTCACAGCTGCCTTAGTCTGGCTCTGTGAGCCACCAGGTGTCACAGCTGTCTTAGTCTGGCTCTGTGAGCCCCCAGGTGTCACAGCCGTCTTAGTCTGGCTCTGTGAGCCCCCAGGTGTCACAGCTGCCTTAGTCTGGCTCTGTGAGCCCCCAGGTGTCACAGCTGTCTTAGTCTGGCTCAGTGAGCCCCCAGATATTACAGCTGCCTTGGTCTGGCTCAGTGAGCCCCCAGATATTACAGCTGACTTAGTCTGGCTCTGTGAGCCCCCAGATATTACAGCTGCCTTGGTCTGGCTCAGTGAGCCCCCAGATATTACAGCTGACTTAGTCTGGCTCTGTGAGCCCCCAGATATTACAGCTGCCTTAGTCTGGCTCAGTGAGCCCACGGCTACCTTAGTCTGACTCAGTGAGCCCACGACTGTCTTAGTCTGGCTCAGTGAGCCCACGACTGCCTTAGTCTGGCTCAGTGAGCCCACGACTGCCTTAGTCTGGCTCTGAGCCCACGGCTGCCTCGGAGTCTGGCTCAGTGAGCCCACGACTGCCTTAGTCTGGCTCATTGAGCCCACGACTGCCTTAGTCTGGCTCAGTGAGCCCACGACTGCCTTAGTCTGGCTCAGTGAGCCCACGACTGCCTTAGTCTGGCTCAGTGAGCCCACGACTGTCTTAGTCTGGCTCAGTGAGCCCACGACTGTCTCAGTCTGGCTCAGTGAGCCCACGACTGCCTTAGTCTGGCTCAGTGAGCCCACGACTGCCTTAGTCTGGCTCAGTGAGCCCACGACTGTCTTAGTCTGGCTCAGTGAGCCCACGACTGCCTTAGTCTGGCTCAGTGAGCCCACGACTGCCTTAGTCTGGCTCAGTGAGCCCACGACTGTCTTAGTCTGGCTCAGTGAGCCCACGACTGTCTTAGTCTGGCTCAGTGAGCCCACGGCTGCCTTAGTCTGGCTCAGTGAGCCCACGGCTGCCTTAGTCTGGCTCAGTGAGCCCACGACTGCCTTAGTCTGGCTCAGTGAGCCCACGGCTGCCTTAGTCTGGCTCAGTGAGCCCACGACTGCCTTAGTCTGGCTCAGTGAGCCCACGACTGCCTTAGTCTGGCTCAGTGAGCCCACGGCTGCCTTAGTCTGGCTCAGTGAGCCCACGACTGCCTTAGTCTGGCTCAGTGAGCCCACGACTGCCTTAGTCTGGCTCAGTGAGCCCACGACTGCCTTAGTCTGGCTCAGTGAGCCCACGACTGCCTTAGTCTGGCTCAGTGAGCCCACGACTGCCTTAGTCTGGCTCAGTGAGCCCACGACTGTCTTAGTCTGGCTCAGTGAGCCCACGACTGCCTCAGTCTGGCTCAGTGAGCCCACGACTGCCTTAGTCTGGCTCAGTGAGCCCACGGCTGCCTTAGTCTGGCTCAGTGAGCCCACGACTGCCTTGGTCTGGCTCAGTGAGCCCACGACTGTCTTAGTCTGGCTCAGTGAACCCACGACTGTCTTAGTCTGGCTCAGTGAGCCCACGACTGTCTTAGTCTGGCTCAGTGAGCCCACGACTGCCTCAGTCTGGCTCAGTGAGCCCACGACTGCCTTAGTCTGGCTCAGTGAGCCCACGGCTGCCTTAGTCTGGCTCAGTGAGCCCACGACTGCCTTGGTCTGGCTCAGTGAGCCCACGACTGTCTTAGTCTGGCTCAGTGAACCCACGACTGTCTTAGTCTGGCTCAGTGAACCCACGACTGTCTTAGTCTGGCTCAGTGAGCCCACGACTGCCTTAGTCTGGCTCAGTGAGCCCACGACTGTCTTAGTCTGGCTCAGTGAGCCCACGACTGCCTCAGTCTGGCTCAGTGAGCCCACGACTGCCTTAGTCTGACTCAGTGAGCCTCGGAGTCTGGCTCATTGAGCCCACGGCTGCCTTAGTCTGGCTCAATGAGCCTCGGAGTCTGGCTCAGTGAGCCCACGACTGTCTTAGTCTGGCTCAGTGAGCCTCGGAGTCTGGCTCAGTGAGCCCACGACTGTCTTAGTCTGGCTCAGTGAGCCTCGGAGTCTGGCTCAGCGAGGAGCGGGGCACGCAGTTGCAGCCGAAACCTAAGAAACCGCCTCGGGCCTTGTCGAGGCTCGAAACGAAACGGCGGCCGCGAGCGCGCGGCAAGTCTCAGACGCCTCAGAGGCCTCAGAGGCTTCAGGCAAAGGGTGGCCACCTTTGCCTGAGACCCCTCGGACTCTCGTGCGAGAAGGAGGAGGAGGAGGATTTGGCGTTTACCCGGCAGCAGAGCAGCGCTCCAAGTCCGAAGATGGTCGAGAAGGGAGCAGAGTGGAGGGTGGGGGGAGGGGGGGGGGCCCCGGCACGTGCATGAGACACGTGGGGGGAGGGGGCGGGGCGTGAGGAAGGGGGCGGGGCGTGGGGGCGTGAGGGGAGGGGCGGGGCGTTAGTGGAGGGGGCGGGGCGTGTTGGGAGGGGGCGGGGCGTGGGGGGAGGGGGCGGGGCGTGGGGGGGAGGGGCGTGGTCTGGGGGGAGGGGACGGGGCAGTTAGTGGAGGGGGCGGGGCGTGTTGGGAGGGGGCGGGGCGTGGGGGGGCGGGGCGTGGGGGTAGGGGGCGTGGTCTGGGGGGGAGGGGGCGGGGCGTTAGTGGAGGGGGCGGGCGTGTTGGGAGGGGGCGGGGCGTGGGGGGAGGGGGGCGGGGGCGTGGGGGGGGAGGGGGCGTGGTCTGGGGGGAGGGGGCGGGGCGTGGGGGAGGGGCGGGGCATGGGGGGGAGGGGGCGTGGTCTGGGGGAGGGGGCGGGGCGTTAGTGGAGGGGGCGGGGCGTGTTGGGAGGGGGCGGGGCAGTGGGGGGAGGGGGCGGGGCGTGGGGGTAGGGGGCGTGGTCTGGGGGGGAGGGGGCGGGGCGTTAGTGGAGGGGGCGGGGCGTGTTGGGAGGGGGCGGGGCGTGGGGGGGAGGGGGGGAGGGGGCGTGGTCTGGGGGGAGGGGGCGGGGCGTGGGGGAGGGGGCGGGGCATGGGGGGAGGGGGCGTGGTCTGGGGGAGGGGGCGGGGCGTTAGTGGAGGGGGCGGGGCGTGTTGGGAGGGGGCGGGGCGTGGGGGAGGGGGCGGGGCGTGGTCTGGAGGGAGGGGGCGGGGCGTGGGGGAGGGGGCGTGGTCTGGAGGGAGGGGGCGTGGCCTGAAGGGAGGGGGCGGGGCGTTAGTGGAGGGGGCGTGGTCTGGAGGGAGGGGCGGGGCGTGGGGGAGGGGGCGGGGCGTGGTGTGAGGGGAGGGGGCGTGGCCTGAAGGGAGGGGGCGGGGCGTTAGTGGAGGGGGCGGGGCGTGTTGGGATGGTGCGTGGTGATTGGCGGAGGGGTATTTGTCTGAGAGTGAGACTGGCCATCAGAATATTCTTCGGTTTTTTCGGTAGAGTCACCGTGTAGGTGAAAAAAAAATAATAGAAGTTACATAAAAATAAAATAAAAATCACGACGTTTCGGAGGCAACACAAGCTTCCGTCTTCAGGTGGAAGAATAACAGCACGATGGCTGTATCAAGTGAGAGAAATTCCAAGAACACCGTATTTGTATATATACTGGTTGAGGGTGGGAGGAGCCAAGGTAGTCCCCGAATATTATTATTTTTAAATCCTTTATATTAAGTTCGCTTGCTTGCTTAGGACCGTGCAAATCTTTCGCTCGTTTTTTAACCCACTTCCCGTGATCCAATCGAGCTGACATTTTGCACACAGACTCGTTGTGCCAGACAATTATTGTTCGTGAAAAAAAAATCCCAAAATTTTACACTTTTTAGGCAAAAAAAAATTATTTTACATATATTCAAATAGAACTCATTCATCGCTTTGGCTGAACGTCACAGTGTAGGAGCCCAGAGCGTAACCCCTCCACAGGCCGTGGCGGAGCAGCGCAGTTGGTAGCGCCCTCGCTTCCCATGCCAAAGGTCGCGGGGTCGATCCCCGCGTCCTCCACAGGCGGATATATTTTTAAATCCTTTATATTAAGTTCGCTGCCACGCATATAAGGATTTATAGTGAAAAACTTTGTTTTTATGGGTTATACTTATTTTGAGGTTCGGTGCGGCTGAAACACGCTGTTAGCAATGAGCCCTTTGTTGTGTAGACTAGGTGCGGCTGATGTAAAGGTGCGTGTAAAAGGGACTGAGCCTTTTCACCCACGTGACTTTACCGAAAACAAGTATAACCCGTAAAAACAAAGTTTTTCACTCTAAATCCTTCATATGCGTGGCGGCTAGAGTCCTCTCGTCCTCTGGCTTGAGATGGCTGCCACCTATGGGTCAGATGATTGTCTGCCAGTATTAAGCAATTGGCAATTAAATATTTATTTATTTTCCATAAAAAGTGTAAAATTTTGGAAAAAAAATTTCACGAACAATAATTGTCTCGCACAACGAGTCTGTGTGCAAAATGTCAGCTCGATTGGATCACGGGAAGTGGGTTAAAAACGACCGAAATATTTGCACGGTCCTAAGCAAGCAAGCAAGCACGCAAGCAAGCGAACTTAATATATATAAAGGATTTAAAAACGAGCGAAAGATTTGCACGGTCCTAAGCAAGCAAGCGAACTTAATATATATAAAGGATTTAAAAATATATTCGCCTGTGGAGGACGCCGGGATCAATCCCGCGACCTTTGGCATGGGATGCGAGGGCGCTACCAACTGCGCTACTCCGCCACGGCCTGTGGAGGGGTTACGCTCTGGGCTCCTACACTATGACGTTCAGCCAAAGCCAAGAATGAGTTCTATTTGAATATATGTAAAATATTTTTTTTTTTGCCTAAAAAGTGTAAAATTTTGGGATTTTTTTTTCACGAACATAAATTGTCTCGCACAACGAGTCTGTGTGGAAAATGTCAGCTCGATTGGATCACGGGAAGTGGGTTAAAAAACGACCAAAAGATTTTCACGGTCCTAAGCAAGCACGCAAGCAAGCAAGCAAGCGAACTTAATATAAAGGATTTTTTTAAAAACCTAAGAATATGAATCCTTGCAGTCACGAAAGCTTCAAAATTGGCCATCAGAATGTCCTTAACATTCGTGATGTCACTCCACATTGACCAGCCCCCCTAATTAATATTCATGAGTAGGTGACGTCATCCAAATTGACACCCCCACCCCTCCTCATTAATAATTATGAGCGGCGGGTGACGTCACTCCACATCATTAATAGTAATCTCTTAGCCACCGTGATGATGATAATGATGAGAGAGAGACGCAAACTCCAAATCTACAGCAGCAGGCATCGTCAGGGTCGGGATCGAACCCACGACCTCCTGCACACCAGGCGAGGTAGTCAACATCTCTTAGCCACCGTGATGATGAGAGAGAGACGCAAATTCCAAATCTACAGCAGCAGGCATCGTCAGGGTCGAGATCGAACCCACGACCTCCTGCGTACCAGGCGAGGTAGTCAACATCTCCTAGCCACCGTGATGATGATGATGAGAGAGACGCAGACTCCAAATCTACAGCAGCAGCAGGCGTCATCAGGGTCAAGATCGAACCCACGACCTCCTGCGCACCAGGCGAGGTACTCAACATCTCCTAGCCACCGTGATGATGATGATGAGAGAAGACGCAAACTCCAAATCTACAGCAGCAGGCATCGTCAGGGTCTCAGGATCGAACCCACGACCTCCTGCACACCAGGCGAGGTAGTCAACATCTCCTAGCCACCGTGATGATGATGAGAGAGAGAGACGCAAACTCCAAATCTGCAGCAGCAGGCATCATCAGGGTCGGGATGGAACCCATGACCTCCTGCACACCAGGCGAAGTAGTCAACATCTCCTAGCCACCGTGATGATGATGAGAGAGACACAAACTCCAAATCTACAGCAGCAGGAATTGTCAGGATCGGGATCGAACCCACGACCTCCTGCACACCAGGCGAGGTCGTCAACATCTCTACCTGGCCACGAAGAAGGTCCATTGTCCGAAACGTTGTGCTATTAAGTAATTATATATATTCCTTATAAGGCCGCCACGCTGCGCTACAAACCCGGCGACCCGAGTTCGATTCCCGCTCACGGCCAACACCACCAGTGACGATTATCTGCAACCGGTCCCTGGGCCTCCCCTAGGTCGACTCAGCCTCAAAATGAGTACCCGGTGCGCAGTAAACATCGCCACTGGGGAGACAAAGGCGGCCGGGCCTGCGTGGTGCTGGCCACCCGTGTGCCTTGCCGGCCTTCACAGGTGCTGCTCGCTAACAGCACTTGCCCCTGCAGTCTGTTAGAGGCTACCCGGGGGACCTTTGTCTTTAGAGGGGGGAGGAGGGGGGGGTCAAGTGAGGCGTCTCGCGCCGCATCGAGCCGCCCGCCCCGCCCCCCTGCCCCCCCCCCACTCGTGACGTCACGAGGCCTGCTCCTCCTGCTGCTGCTGCCCGCCTCCTGCTGCTCGCCTGAGTCCCACTGCTCGCCGTCTCCCCCCGCTCGTTCCCCCTCCTTCTCCTCCTCTTCCTCCTCCTCTTCCTCCTCCTCCTCTTCTTCCTCTCGTCGTCGCCACCGTCGCCACCGTCGCCGTCACTTGGGGTGGCTTCTCCCACTTCGTTGCACAAAGCAGTCGTCTGGTCGAGGTGAGGAGTTCACCACCCGGAGGCAGCCCTCGGGTGTCTCCCATACGAGTCGATGGGTAGGGGAGGGACACACACAAAGCCACCCAGACAGACAGCCACTCAGACAGCCAGTCACTCATTTACCCAGTCACCCACCCAGTCAGCCACCCAGCCACCCACCCAGTCAGCCACCCAGCCAGCCACCCAGTCACCCAGTCAGCCACCCAGCCAGCCAGCCACCCAGTCAGCCACTCAGCCACTCAGCCACCCACCCAGCCAGCCACCCAGTCAGCCACCCAGTCAGCCACCCACTCACTCACCCAGCCACCCACCCACTCACCCAGCCACCCACCCACTCACCCAGCCACCCACCCAGTCACCCACCCACCCAGTCACCCAGCCACCCACCCACTCACCCACTCACCCAGCCACCCCACCCACCTAGCCACTCAGCCACCCACCCACCCAGCCAGCCACCCAGTCAGCCACCCACCCACTCACCCAGCCACTCACCCAGCCAGTCAGCCAGCCACCCACCCACCCAGTCACCCAGTCAGTCACCCACCCACCCACCCAGTCACCCAGTCAGTCACCCACCCACCCAGTCACCCAGTCAGTCACCCACCCACCCAGTCACCCAGTCAGTCACCCAGCCACCCACCCACCCAATCACCCACCCAGGGGGCGCCACGGTGACTAGGAGATGTTGACTACCTCGCCTGGTGTGCAGGAGGTCGTCGTGGGTTCGATCCCGACCCTGACGATGCCTGCTGCTGTAGATTTGGAAAACATGAGAATAAGTTTAATCCTTTCTGGCAATAAAATAGGTGTTGAGATGTTCACGCACCAAATGGATGCCTTTTGCAAGGCACGGTAAAGACCTCTATTTGATTTTTCATCATTTTTCTGCTGGAAAAAGGTCCCATAGATCTGGAAATTTGGAGTTTGCTTATCTCTCTCTCTGCATGTGGTCGCTTGGATTTTTCTCCGAGTCCTCCGGTTTTTAAATACTTTATATTAAGTTCACTTGCTTGCTTGCGCGCTTACGACCGTGCAAATCTTTCGGTCGTTTTTAACCCACTTCCCGTGATCCAATCGAGCTGACATTTTGCACACAAACTCGTTGTGCGTGACAATTTATTTTCGTGAAAAATTTTTTCCTACATTTTACACTTTTTAGGAAAACATTAATTATATTTAATTACCAATTGCTTAATGGTGGCAGGCAATCATCTGACCCATAGGTGGCAGCCATCTCAAGCCAGAGGACGAGAGGACTCTAGCCGCCACGCATATAAAGGATTTATAGTGAAAAACTTTGTTTTTAGGGGTTAATTTTTTTCCCTCCACATTTAAATCAACGTCACGCGTTCACAGTATTTGGCTGCTGTATATTTCCATGATATGATGATGATAAGTCATCACTTGATTGACCTATCATTTGTGATAACCAGGTCGATTCTGAAACAGAGCTACTACACTTTTACTTAACTTTCGTGACTGCAGGAATTCATATTTTTTGGTTCTTTCGGTAAAGTCACGTAGATAGAAAAAAAAAATTAGTTAATAAAAAAATGATGACAATAAAATACAAAATAGCAAAAAAACATTGGTATAGACTGTAGCCTGGTTGTTAATCGGAGTGAGTGTATTGGCAGTCTTTAATGTAGACTGTAGCAATGGTTATTAAACAGTGACCGTACTGCTAGTCTATAATAAAGACTGTAGCCTGGTTCTTAATCGGAGCGAGTGTACTGGCAGTCTATAATGTAGACTGTAGCCTGGGTATTAAGTTTGGTGAGCGTATTGGCAGCCTATAATGTAGACTGTAGCCTGGTTCTTAATCTGAGTGAGTGTACTGACAGTCTATAATGTAGACTTATTAAATCCTTTATATTAAGTTCGCTTGCTTGCGTGCTTGCTTGCTTACGACCGTGCAAATCTTTCGGTCGTTTTTTAACCCACTTCCCGTGATCCAATCGAGCTGACATTTTCCACACAGACTCGTTGTGCGTGACAATTAATTTTCGTGAAAAAAAATCCCAAAATTTTACACTTTTTAGGGAAAACAAATTACATATTTAATTACCAATTGCTTAATACTGGCAGACAATCATCTGACCCATAGGTGGCAGCCATCGCAAGCCAGAGGACGAGAACTCTCTAGCCGCCACGCATATAAAGGATTTAGATTGAAAAACTTTGTTTTTACGGGTTTACTTGTTCTTGGTTCTTTCAGTAATACAAGATATAATAAAAATAATAATAAAATAAATACTACATTTTAAAACAAAAACCACGACGTTTCGACCACAACACAAGCGAGCGTCTTCAGGAGGAAAGAGGGAGACGGACACCTAAGGCAACCATTTTTAAATCCTTTATATTAAGTTCACTTGCTTGCTTAGGACCGTGCAAATCTTTTGGTCGTTTTTTAACCCACTTCCCGTGATCCAATCGAGCTGACATTTTGCACACAGACTCGTTGTGCGTGACAATTAATGTTCGTGAAAATTTTTTTCCAAAATTTTACACTTTTTAGGACAAAAATATTATATTTAATTACCAATTGCTTAATGGTGCAATGCAATCATCTGACCTATAGGTGGCAGCCATCTCAAGCCAGAGGACGAGAGGACTCTAGCCGCCACGCATATAAATGATTTATAGTGAAAAACTTGGTTTTTACGGGTTATACTTATTAAATCCTTTATATTAAGTTCACTTGCTTGCGCGCTTACGACCGTGCAAATCTTTCGGTCGTTTTTTAACCCACTTCCCGTAATCCAATCGAGCTGACATTTTGCACACAGACTCGTTGTGCGTGACAATTTCTTTTCGTGAAAATTTTTTTCCAAAATGTTCCACTTTTTAGGAAAAAAAAAATTCATATTTAATTTAAAATACCAATGTGATAAAAATGAAACTCTTACTGAAGAAAAACAGAAATGAATAATAAAATAAAACCGATGCCACGCATATAAAGGATTTATAGTGAAAAACTTTGTTTTTACGGGTTAATTTTTTCAAGGTCTCAAAAATTGGTGTGGCACAAGAGAAAAAGCCTCTGCGGGCGCAACGAAGTGGGAGGGGCATGTCTGCCCTGGGGTCAGAGGTCGCAAACGGGTTTTGATTCCTTACCCGTACCCGGCCGCACCAGGGTCGCAAACGGGTACCCGTACCCGGCCGTACCCTACCCGTACCCAGCCGGGTACGGGAAGGGTACGGGTATCGGGTACCTGATTGCGACCTCTGGGATGAAGCCATGTTGCAGGCGCGGGTGGGTTGATTCTAGGAACTTGAATTGTGAGAAGAGACAAGACGTTGGGAAATGAGCGACAAACATTTCGATTTAAAGCTTTCGTGACTGCAGGGATACATCTTCTTGGTTCTTTCTGTAAAGTCGCGTAGAAGGGAAATAATAAAATAATAAAAATAAAACATAATACAATAATTATCTGACAATTATTTTATTATGTTTTATTTTAATTCTCTGAGAATTATTTTATTATGTTTTATTTTTATTATTTCCCTTCTACGTGACTTTACCGAAAGAACCAAGAAGACGAACAAATCTTTGTTGATAGCCAGTGGGCTTGCAAAGTATTGTAATTTTTTATTCCTGAAAGAACCAAGAAGAAGTCGACATTATCGACTGCCAGTACACTCACCACCGGCTACTCACCACGTGGTTGCTGCTGCTGCTGCTGCTGCTGCCTTCTCGCTCGACTGTGGTTCCTCCTCCGAGTCGTCCAATCTCTCTTTCCAAGTCGCCCGCCCCCCCCCTCTCTCTCTCTCCATGTCATCCTCTCTCCTTTTCGATTTAAAGCTTTCGTGACTGCAGGGATTCATCTTCTTGGTTCTTTCGGTAAAGTCACGTAGAAGGGAAGTAATAAAATAATAAAAATAAAACATTAAATAATTCTCACGACGTTTCGGCCACAACGCAAGCAGCCGTCTTCAGGTGAAGAACAGGTCTGTGTGCGGTAAAGTCACGTAGGTAGACCTGTTCTCCACCTGAGGACGGCTGCTTGCGTTGTGGCCGAAACGTCGTGAGAATTATTTAATAATATTTTATTTTTATTATTTTATTACTTCCCTTCTATGTGACTTTACCGAAAGAACCAAGAAGATGAATCCTCTCTCCTGTTTCAGTCTTCACTGTGAGCCCATGATGGCTTTGCTGGACCTCCACCTAACCTCCCTCCGCTCCCCTCCCCCCTGCTCCCCCCCACTCCCCCCCCCTCCCCCCTGCTCCCCCCCCCCGCTCCCACCCCCCTGCTCCCCCCCCTCCCCCCACTCCCACCCCCCTGCTCCCCCCCCCGCTCCCCTCCCCCCACTCCCCCCCTCCCCCCCCCACTCCCCCCCCCCCTGTCTCCCACCTGACAGATTGTGAAGCGGCTGAGGTGGGGGGGACGGCCCCGCTCGCATGGACGCCGCCGGGATGTCTCGGGGCCGGGCGGCCCCGCACGGCCCGGCCGGCGCCAGGGGCCCCGCGCTGTGGCGGGAGCCGCACGGAGCTCCGCTGGCGCCGGTCGGCGCCGGCGAGGAAGAACCCACGGGTGAGGGATGGCGTTGCCAATTTGCCGAGCCGGTGCGCTGGGCGAAGGTGACGGTGGCGGGGGGGGCGTCGTGGTGGCTAGGAGATACATCTTCTTGGTTCTTTCGGTAAAGTCACGTAGTCGGGAAGTAATAAAATAATAAAAATAAAACATAGTAAAATATTATTATATTATTTTATTATATGATTTTATTATGTTTTATTTTTATTATTTTATTACTTCCCTACTACGTGACTTTACCGAAAGAACCAAGAAGATGAATCCCTGCAGTCACGAAAGCTTTAAATCGAAATTTAGGAGATACTTGATACGGCTGTCGTGGCTGTGACGGTTCCACCTGAAGACGGAAGCTTGTGTTGCCTCCGAAACGTCGTGATTTTTATTTTATTTTTATTAATTTTAATGTTTTACCTACGTGACTTTACCGAAAAAACCTAAGAATATAGGAGATACCCTTTGGTTCTTTGTGCCAATACGTGTTCTCTCTCTCTGTGTATCTTTATGATGTCTGTCTGCTTATATGTCCGTCTATAGTTTTCTGGTTAGATTTGTGTTGCTATTTCTTTTATACCCGATGATGATTGCTTGTGTTTCAATCGAAACGTCGTTATGCGCCGCTTCTCGGTGGCAGCCCCAACAGTCTGGAACGATATCCCTCTGCACATTCGTAGCATCACCTCAATCGCCTCCTTCAAGAGAGACTTAAACACTCACCTCTACAACCACGTGCTTTCGAGCGACTCTGAGCTTGGCTCCGCGCCTCCGAGTTGCGGCCACTACGTCTGCAAATTTGCGCGCGTTACAAATTGAACTATTATTATTATATTATTAAAACAAAAAAAGCCAAAACGTCCTCGCCTGAATGTGACATTTTTCAGTCATCGGAGTCGACGAGTATGACACGAAGCCCAAGTCTGGAGGAGACTCGCCGAGGGACGAGGCCACGGACTCCTCGTGGAGCCCGGCGGAGGTGGAGGAGAGCGGTGACGGTGACGGTGAGTAGCTCGGAGGGAGACGGGGGAGAGGTCACGGTGAGAGTTTGGGTCTCTTAGAGACGGGGTGAGAGGTCACGGTGGGAGTTTGGGTCTCTTAGAGACGGGTGAGAGGTCACGGTGAGAGTTTGGGTCTCTTAGAGACGGGGTGAGAGGTCACGGTGGGAGTTTGGGTCTCTTAGAGACGGGTGAGAGGTCTTAAAAAAGTCTTAAAGTCACTTTATTGTCAAGTGTGTTACATGCATGACATACAACACAGATGAAATTACAGTCCTCTCTCTTGGTCCCACGGTGCAACCAAGCAATTAAAAAATTAATCACAATTAACAGACATAAATAAACAATAAACAATCGGCGATCAACACAAGATAAATAATCAAAAATGTAATAAACTTAAAATAAACAACAGTCAAGAATTTTTAAAATGTAAAATATTATTTAAATAAAGTATTTAAAGAAATAAGATATTTAAACCAGTGTGGTAGTGTGATGTAGTGCAATGTGCAGTCCAGAGATCAGGATGTACGAGTGAATGTGTGTGTGGGGGATGGGGTCAGGGGGCAAAGGGGGGTGGGTGGGCAGAGGGGGGGAGTGATGGTAGAGCAGGGAGGGAGTTGAGTCTCCTGACAGCCTGGTGAAAGAAACTGTCTTTGAGCCTGCTGGTCCTGGCTGGAAGACTCCGCAGTCTCCTCCCTGACGGCAGCAGACTGAAGAGGCTGTGAGATGGGTGGGTGGGATCACCTGCAATCTTGATTGGTCACGGGGAGTTTGGGTCTCTTATAGATGGGTGAGAGGTCACGGTGAGAGTTTGGGTCTCTTAGAGACGAGGGAGAGGTCACGGGCAGTTTGGGTCTCTTAGAGACGGGGTGAGAGGTCACGGTGGGAGTTTGGGTCTCTTAGAGATGAGTGAGAGGTCACGGGGAGTTTGGGTCTCTTAGAGACAAGGGAGAGGTGACGGTGGGAGTTTGGGTCTCTTAGAGACGAGGGAGAGGTCACGGAGAGTTTGGGTCTCTTAGAGACGGGGTGAGAGGTCACGGTGGGAGTTTGGGTCTCTTAGAGACGGGGTGAGAGGTCACGTTGAGAGTTTGGGTCTCTTAGAGACGGGTGAGAGGTCACGGTGGGAGTTTGAGTCTCTTAGAGACGGGGTGAGAGGTCACGGTGAGAGTTTGGGTCTCTTAGAGACGGGTGAGAGGTCACGGTGAGAGTTTGGGTCTCTTAGAGACGGGGTGAAAGGTCACGGTGGGAGTTTGGGTCTCTTAGAGACAGGGGAGAGGTCACGGGGAGTTTGGGTCTCTTATAGACGGGGGAGAGGTCACGGTGGGAGTTTGGGTCTCTTAGAGACGGGGGAGAGGTCACGGGTGAGAGTTTGGGTCTCTTAGAGACGGGGTGAGAGGTCACGGTGAGCGTTTGGGTCTCTTAGAGACGGGGTGAGAGGTCACGGTGAGAGTTTGGGTCTCTTAGAGACGAGGGAGAGGTCACGGTGAGAGTTTGGGTCTCTTAGAGACGGGGTGAGAGGTCACGGTGAGAGTTTGGGTCTCTTAGAGACGGGGTGAGAGGTCACGGTGGGAGTTTGGGTCTCTTAGAGACGAGGGAGAGGTCACGGTGAGAGTTTGGGTCTCTTAGAGACGGGGTGAGAGGTCACGGTGAGAGTTTGGGTCTCTTAGAGACGGGGTGAGAGGTCACGGTGAGAGTTTGGGTCTCTTAGAGACGGGGTGAGAGGTCACGGTGGGAGTTTGGGTCTCTTAGAGACGGGGGAGAGGTCACGGTGGGAGTTTGGGTCTCTTAGAGACGGGGGAGAGGTCACGGGGAGAGTTTGGGTCTCTTAGAGACGAGGGAGAGGTCACGGTGGGAGTTTGGGTCTCTTAGAGACGGGGGAGAGGTCACGGTGGGAGTTTGAGTCTCTTAGAGACGAGGGAGAGGTCACGGTGAGAGTTTGGGTCTCTTAGAGACGAGGGAGAGGTCACGGTGGGAGTCTGGGTCTCTTAGAGACGGGTGAGAGGTCACGGGGAGTTTGGGTCTCTTAGAGACGAGGGAGAGATCACGGGGAGTTTGGGTCTCTTAGAGACGGGTGAGAGGTCACGGGGAGTTTGGGTCTCTTAGAGACGAGGGAGAGGTCACGGGGAGTTTGGGTCTCTTAGAGACGGGGGTAGAGGTCACGGTGAGAATTTGGGTCTCTTAGAGACGGGGTGAGAGGTCACGGTGAGAGTTTGGGTCTCTTAGAGACGGGGTAGAGGTCACGGTGGGAGTTTGGTTCTCTTAGAGACGGGGTAGAGGTCACGGTGGGAGTTTGTGTCTCTTAGAGACGGGGGAGAGGTCACGGGGAGTTTGAGGTCTCTTAGAGACGAGGGAGAGGTCACGGGGAGTTTGGGTCTCTTAGAGACGGGGTGAGAGGTCACGGTGGGAGTTTGGGTCTCTTAGAGACTGGGGAGAGGTCACGGGCAGTTTGGGTCTCTTTGAGACGGGGTGAGAGGTCACGGTGGGAGTTTGGGTTTCTTAGAGACTGGGGAGAGGTCACGGGCAGTTTGGGTCTCTTAGAGACGGGGTGAGAGGTCAGTTTCAGTTATGTTGCCAGAAAAAAAGGAAAAAAAAACCTTATTATTATTATAGTAAAGCTTTGTCAGCTAAACAGAACGTGGCCAATTCGTAACTCGCACAGCCCAATCTGCCCGTCGCCTGATGAAGCTGGTTGTAGTCACTGGCGAAACGTTGCGCCCGGATTGTAAATGTTGTGGCCTTGCTCTCCAACGCACAGCCGGTTAGGGGGGCACGGGGGTCAGAACGTGGACACACCAAACAGCACAGCGGCACGATAGCGGTGCAAAGCGCAGGTCAGGTGAGCAAATCGCTCTCGTCGGCTTGATAAATAAAAAAAAATTACGCGGCCGATCAAAAAAAAACACGCCAATTTCCCCTAGCCCAGCTGCTTTCTAGCAAAACATTTGCTGTTGCCGCTGCTGCTGCTGCTGCCCCCTCGCGCGCGCGTTTAAACGTCGCGGTCGAACCCGCTGGGGTGGCTCGCCGCGGTTCAGTGTCCGTGACGTCTTCCTTGTCCGCCCTGCAGACCTTCTCGACGATCACGATCAGCTGCACCAGCAGCACCAGCAGCAGCAGCAGCAGCAGCCCGAGTGCCCCGAATGCGGCAAGCTGTTCGCCAACGAGCGCACGCTGCAGCGCCACCGCCGCACGCACTCGGGCGAGCGGCCGTACGCGTGCGGCGACTGCGGCAAGAGCTTCCCGCTGCTGTCGACGCTGCGCGACCACCAGGCGACGCACACTGGCGAGTGGCCGCACGTGTGCGACGAGTGCGGCAAGGGCTTCGCGCGCGTCCAGAAGCTCCGCAAGCACCGCATGACCCACACGGGCGAGCGTCCGCACGCGTGCCCCCACTGCGGCAAGGGCTTCGCGCAGCTGTCGAGCCTCAAGCGGCACGTGGGCACGCACGCCGGCGAGCGACCGCACGCGTGCGACGAGTGCGGGCGAGGCTTCGCGAGCGTTTCGAGCCTCAAGACGCACCGGCGCACTCACTCGGGGGAGCGCCCGCACGCCTGCGACGAGTGCGGGCGGGCGTTCTCGCAGGCGTCGACGCTCAAGGAGCACAGGCGGACGCACACGGGGGAGAGGCCCCACTCCTGCGACGACTGCGGCAAGGGCTTCTCCAGCGTCTCCAACCTCAAGAAGCACCGTCGCACCCACACGGGGGAGCGTCCGCACGCGTGCGGCGAGTGCGGCAAGCGCTTCTCGCAGACGTCGACTCTGCGCGAGCACCTGGAGATGCACACGGGCGAGTGGTCGCACGTGTGCGACGAGTGCGGCAAGGGTTTCTCGCGGGTCACCAACCTCAAGAAGCACCGCATGACGCACACGGGCGAGAGGCCGTACGTGTGCACGGCGTGCGAGAAGATGTTCGCCAGCGTCACCGACCTCAAGATCCACCAGCGCGTGCACACCGGGGAGCGCCCGCACGTGTGCAAGGAGTGCGGCAAGGGGTTTTCGCGAGTGCACGACCTCAAGCTGCACAGGGGCACGCACCGCGGGGAGAAGCCGTACGCGTGCAAAGTGTGCGGCACCGCCTTCCAGAACCGCTACTTCATGAAGAGGCACCAGAAAGAGGAGCACGAAATGAAGGAGACGGAGAATTGAGCGGGCGGCGTGGGGGGAGGTTTATACTTTAGCGTCTTTTTTCCTTTTCGTCTTAACTTTTACTCGTGTTGAAACGGTTCGGTCTGCGGGCCCCCCCCGCGCGCACGGACCGCCCGTTGTGTCCGTGGGCTCGCGGGCAAGGCCGTCGACGGCGTCTCGTGCTACGTTTGCGCGGCTGCGTTTCCTTTTTTTTATTTCCCCGTCGTGAAAAGCGTCGGCCGCTCCGCACCCCGCGGATTGCCGTTGACGCAGGGGAGGGAATCGATCCCGAAAGGACTGCGCCGAGGGCATCGTCGCCTTCTGCCGACGTCACCCCGAGGAACGGGGATCGGACTCGGGCTCGCTGTGAACCCGCCCCCCCCCACCGCCGCCGTCACCTCGCACGCCGCTGAGTTTGCGATCTGGTTAATTCGGTGGCATTGTGGGGTGTTTCGTGTGCGTCGTGTGTGTGTGTGTGGTGTGTGTACGTGTGTGTGGAGTGTGTAGTGTGTGTGTGTGTGTGTGTGTGTAGTGTGCGTGTAGTATGTGTGGTGTGTGTACGTGTAGTGTGTGTCTGTATGTGGTACGTGTGTGTGTAGTGTGTAGGGGAGCGGTGGTGTAGCGGTTAGCACGCCGCGCTATGAACCCGGCTACCCAGGTTCGATTCCTGCTCTCAAGGCCAACACCGGTGACGATTATCCGAACCGTCTTTCACAGCTGCTGCTGCTGCGCGCTAACAGAACTTGCCATTACAGTCTGTGACAGGCTACACGGGCGGGAGGTAGCGGCGGGGGAGGGGATCTTTGTCTTTATTTTCCCCGCGGCGACGTCGTCGTTGTCGTCGTCGTTGTTTTAGTTTCATCGTGAACCGGACCGCCGCGTGGCCACATTCCCACCCGAGTACCTCGCCCCGGACCCTCCACCCCGTCAACGCCACGCTCGTCTTCGCGAACACGCGGCCAGCGCCGAGTAGCCCCCCCCGCCCCCCCCCTCCCCCCCTCCCCCCCTCCCCGGCTACCCTCGTGATGATTTGTGCTCCTGGCAGAGGTCGCAAACGGGTTTTGATTCCTTACCCGTACCCGGCTGCACCAGGGTCGCAAATGGGTACCTGTACCCGCACCCGGCCGGGTTACGGGTACCCGTTCCCTACCCGTACCCTACCCGAAATGAGTGACAATCACGGTTACTCACCAGTGACTCACGGCCTACCCGTACCCGTACCCGGCCACACCAGGGTCGCAAACGGGTAGGGTACGGGTATCGGGTACCCGGTTGCGACCTCTGCCCTGGGGTCAGAGAGCACCAATATGAAGCACTGAACATGCCGTGCCACAAAACGTCTCGGTGTCAGAAGGAAGTGGGCGGGCCACGTGTGCCCTGGGGCAAGACAACAATAAAACGACACAGACGGGTATGGGGTATGGGGTAGGGTACGGGTATGGGGTAGGGTACGGGTATGGGGTAGGGTACGGGTATCGGGTACGGGTACGGGTATGGGGTAGGGTACGGGTATCGGGTACGGGTAGCCGGGTATGGGGTAGGGTACGGGTATCGGGTAGGGTACGGGTATGGGGTAGGGTACGGGTACGGGTAGCCGGGTATCGGGTAGGGTACGGGTATCGGGTACGGGTAGCCGGGTATGGGGTAGGGTACGGGTATGGGGTAGGGTACGGGTATGGGGTAGGGTACGGGTATCGGGTAGGGTACGGGTATCGGGTAGGGTACGGGTATCGGGTAGGGTACGGGTATCGGGTAGGGTACGGGTATAGGGTAGGGTACGGGTATGGGGTACCCGGTTGCGACCTCTGGCTCCCGGCCTCTCGAGTCCGCCGGTGGGGGCGGGCGCCTCGCGAATCGACTCTTAGATTAACAGGCGGTCGTTTGACTCGCGGGGTTTATGCGGTTAAAATCGCGCGTGCGCTTGTGCGCTTGTGCGTGTGGTGCGTGCGGTGTGGTGCGTGCGGTGCGTGGGGAGCGGTGGCATAACGGTTAGCGCCACGCCGCGCTACGAACCCGGCGACCCGGGTTCGATTCCCGCTCACGGCCAACGCCACCGGTGACGGTTATCTGAACCGGTCCCGGGCCTCCCCTAGGTCGACTCGGCCTCAAAATGAGTACCCGGTGCGGTGATGGCCACTCACCCCCCTCGTGTGCCGCAGCGGCGGCCTTCGGAGGTGCTCGCTAACAGCACTTGCCCCAACAGTCTGTTAGAGGCTACACGGGAGGGGGGGGTGATCTTTGTTTTTGTGTGGGGGATCGACACTTCGATTCGCCTTGACGGAAATGTTCCTCCGAGGCTGACGGTGCAAACCGAGAGGATACAAGTGATATCGGCATTCCGCCCTCTCCGGCTTTCTAATCCACGAACCGGGTGTCCGTGGACTGTGTTGGGCTGTCGTTCTCGTCAACTTGTCGTCGGGGAATCTGAACGTGGGAGATTTAAGGGCAAGTTTCGTTTTGCGGCTTCGCTGTTGCCTTTATTTTTTGTATAAATAGCATTAGCTGCTGTGCGCGTGCGATGCGCCCGGCTCTGTGCGTGTGCGGTGCGCTGTGTAAACATCGCCACGAGGTGAGACAGAGGCTCTGTGCGTACCTGGTGCGTTGGCCGCCCGTCCCACTCGTGCGGCCGTGCCGGCCTTCGTAGGTGCTACTCGCTAGCAGCACTTGCCCCAACAGCCTGTTGAGGCTACACGGGCGGGTGGGACGATGGAGGCGACCTTTGTCTGTGTCTGGTGGCATATCTGCTGTATCTGGCGGCGGCGGCGGCGATGTGTGTGTGTCCGATTGTAGAGTAATTTAATGGTGGTGGGACGTCGGATTTGTCGGAAATATGGAAGAAGAAGAAGATCGCATTACGTCCACGGTCTTTCCAAGTGCTCTCCCAGTTTGGGGGGGGGCGGTGGGGGGGGGGGGGGGAGGATTTCTCGTCTCTCCTCGCAAGCGGCCGGTTGTTCTCCGACCACCCCAGTTTCAATTTGCCGATGGGGTGGTTTTATCGAGCGAGACTCGCGATTTGTTCCCGGCTGGTGGCTTCCGCACGGTGGCGGGAGAAGTTCGACGCCCGATCGACCCGGCCCGACCCTGCCGACGACGGTGGTGGTGGTGCCGCCCGCTACCCGCAACGTTTTTTTTTGCGGCTCCGAAATGTTGCGACCTCCGCTGCCGTTCGCCGTGACCCAAAGGCGTTGGTCCAGAGGTCGCAACCGGGTACCCGATACCCGTACCCGGCCGGGTACGGGTAGGGTACGGGTACGGCCGGGTACGGGTACCCGTTTGCGACCCTGGTGCGGCCGGGTACGGGAATCAAAACCCGTTTGCGACCTCTGCGTTGGTCTGGAGGCCTCTGTCTGGAGGCCTCTGTCTGGATGCCTCTGCCTGGAGGCCTCTGTCTGGACGCCTCTGTCTGGACGCCTCTGTCTGGACGCCTCTGTCTGGAGGCCTCTGTCTGGAGGCTTCTGTCTGGAGGCTTCTGTCTGGAGGCTTCTGTCTGGAGGCTTCTGTCTGGAGGCCTCTGTCTGGAGGCCTCTGTCTGGAGGCCTCTGTCTGGAGGTCTCTGTCTGGACTCCTCTGTCTGGAGGCCTCTGTCTGGAGGCTTCTGTCTGGAGGCCTCTGTCTGGAGGCCTCTGTCTGGAGGCCTCTGTCTGGAGGCCTCTGTCTGGAGGCCTCTGTCTGGAGGCCTCTGTCTGGACGCCTCTGCCTGGAGGCCTCTGCCTGGACGCCTCTGCCTGGACGCCTCTGTCTGGACGCCTCTGTCTGGAGGCCTCTGTCTGGACGCCTCTGTCTGGAGGCTTCTGTCTGGAGGCTTCTGTCTGGAGGCCTCTGTCTGGAGGCCTCTGTCTGGAGGCCTCTGTCTGGACGCCTCTGTCTGGAGGCCTCTGTCTGGACGCCTCTGTCTGGACGCCTCTGTCTGGACGCCTCTGTCTGGACGCCTCTGTCTGGACGCCTCTGTCTGGACGCCTCTGTCTGGAGGCCTCTGTCTGGAGGCCTCTGCCTGGAGGCCTCTGCCTGGAGGCCTCTGCCTGGAGGCCTCTGCCTGGAGGCCTCTGCCTGGAGGCCTCCGCCTGGAGGCCTCCGCCTGGAGGCCTCCGCCTGGACGCCTCCGCCTGGACGCCTCCGCCTGGACGCCTCCGCCTGGAGGCCTCCGCCTGGAGGCCTCCGCCTGGAGGCCTACGACTGGAGGCCTCCGTCTGGAGGCCTCCGTCTGGACGCCTCCGTCTGGACGCCTCCGTCTGGACGCCTCCGTCTGGAGGCCTCTGTCTGGAGGCCTCTGTCTGGAGGCCTCTGTCTGGAGGCCTCTGTCTGGAGGCCTCTGTCTGGAGGCCTCTGTCTGGAGGCCTCTGTCTGGAGGCCTCTGTCTGGAGGCCTCTGTCTGGAGGCCTCTGTCTGGAGGCCTCTGTCTGGAGGCCTCTGTCTGGAGGCCTCTGTCTGGAGGCCTCTGTCTGGAGGCCTCTGTCTGGAGGCCTCTGTCTGGAGGCCTCTGTCTGGAGGCCTCTGCTCGTGCACGAACCAGCGGCGTGGGCCACACGGCCGGGGTTTTCGTGGGACGTTGTCGGTTTTGTCTTTTTTTGTTTTGCTGGTTTTTGGGCTCGTTCCACCAGGGAGCCACTTTTGATCCAGTGGCGTGAAGAAGTTTGGCGCGTCACGAACGATTGTCGCCCAGCCTTCTTACCCCCTCCCCCCCCCATGTGATTCGATGCGTTGTTAAAAGTCAGGTTTAGGGGGGGCGGTGGTGGTGGTGTTTTTTGGTCATTTTGTTGTTGTTGGTGTTGTTGTTGGTGGTGGTGCTTTGCAATTCCATTCAGGATTTCTCCTCTCAATGTCGTGGCGAATATCCGCGGGAAAGATTTTGGGGTGGTGATGGGGTAATGTGGTGGTGATGTGGTAGTGAGGTGGTAGTGGGGGGGTAGTGGGGTGGTGGGTGTCGACCGCGGGACATTTGCAAACGAATTCGTTTTCCAGCGACAAAACAAATGGCATCGCCTGCGCGATACGGGAAAACGTGAATAACACTGGTCAACACACTTTTTTTGGCATAAAGTTTTCCAACGTTTTAAAGGTAATTTTGGGGTGCTGATTCAAAATCTGGCATCAGTTTTTGTCTATCATATCAGGTTTTTGAGATATAAAATATTGCATTTTGAATAAAAAACTGCAGAAGAAAAATATTAAATAAATATGGATATCTACATGAAATAATATTGTAAACACACTATCCTAAAAATACCAGCACCATATTTTAACACTAAAGCAATCACCGACTCGCAACAACTTGCAATCATAAGTGACAGAGTTAATTATCGGGTAAAATCAATGAAAACGGGGTATGCCGATAGCATAAAAATGAGATGCGATAGAACAAATCTGAGATCAGATTTGGAATCGGCACCCTGAAATGAGTCTAGAACAGCTGCAAAAGTCCAGGCCAGAAAAACACGTTTTTTTTTGTTGACCAGTGTTAGTCGCTTCGTCGCGGTGTGAATATCACGAGACGAACTGACGGTGGTACCACAGCTTGTGGTGCCGCACGGCCCCCCCAAAAACCTCCTCCTCCTCCTCCTGTTAAAACTCGAAGTCACCAATAAAAATTGATCTTTTGACAGGGAAACAAACAGCAACCACAACTCCCGATCGGTGTTTTTCGTGTTTTGTTTGGGGGCGTTTTTGGTTAAAAAAATGTTCTTTTAACAAATCGGTGGTTGGCAGAGGTCGCAACCGGGGTACCCGATACCCGTACCCTACCCGACACCCGGCTACCCGTACCCGGCCGGGTACGGGTACCCGTTTGCGACCCTAGTGCGGCCGGGTACGGGTAAGGAATCAAAACCCGTTTGCGACCTCTGGTGGTTGGTCACGGAACTGGGTGGGGTGGGGGTGGGTGTTGTCTAACAAAACTAAAAACCTGCCCCGGCTATTTTGTAAACACGACGAGGCCTGTGGAGCCCTCGGAACTCTGTCCGTGCGGCAATTCTCGGCCTTTGTCGAAACGCGTTCCTCCTCCTCCTTGTGTGCCGACACAAAAAACAACCTCGGAGCCGTTCAAGTTAATTTCAAGTTCATTTATTAGATTTCGATGTAAAGCTTTCGTGACTGCAGCAGGGATTCATCTTCTTGGTTCTTTCGGTAAAGTCATCACGTAGAAGGGAAGTAATAAAATAATAAAAATAAAACATAATAAAATACAATTCTCACGATGTTTCGGCCACAACGCAAGCAGCCGTCCTCAGGTGAAACCAGGTCTATCGAGGCGACAGCGTCTGAATGAAACGGCACACCTGAGGACGGCTGCTTGCGTTGTGGCCGAAACGTCGTGAGAATTGTTTTATTATGTTTTATTATTTTATTACTTCCCTTCTACGTGACTTTACCGAAAGAACCAAGAAGATTCATGTATTAGGTGTAGCCCTGTGAGCCATTCGGCTCTTGAATCGGGTGCAACCGCAACAAACAGAAAGAAAA